TTTTTTAGAAATTATAAAATTTAAATTATAATATTGATTATTATAAATTAAAATTAAAATCTTAATTAATGTACATTGAAATTTTATCTTAATTAATTAGTACATTAGATATATAATTTAAACTTTAAAAACAAAATGTTACAAAAAACAAAAATATATGTATTATATTTAACATTTTTCAAAAGTTTGGGAGGCACACATCAATAGCTAGAAAGAATTTCATTAGTCAAGTTAATGGAATGTTTGTCAAGTAAATTATTTTGAAATAAAATTGATAATTTATATATCATTTTGAAAAAAAAATATTTTAAATTAAATTAAAATAAATCAAATAGTTAATACATTATTTATTAAATTTAACCAAATTTTAATAGGACCCACACGCAAGCCACAGCCGCATGTCTATCTATGGTTTTACTTTTGCCCCAAATCGAGCACTTTAACTTTTCAATTTATTATTTAAGGACTCAAATTTACCAATATTATTATACAATATTTTGTTAAATGGAGTATTGACCCAGACTTCTTAATTTTAGGGTAAAGATATATAATTTATTTCTACAATTTTTATATATCATTAAATAAATATATATTAATATTATAAATTTAAGTGAAGTAAAAAAAAAATCAATCATTGAATAATATATAAAGTTATAAAAAATATATATACAATAAAAATTATCCCTTTATCATTTTCTTTCTTTTTTTAATTCTATTAAAGTGACTCACATTAGATATTGGCTTGTCAAAAAAACTACTTCCTTATTGATGATGTGGAAAAGATTGAAATTTTATTCAGTTTAGAAAGTCATATACAAACAATTTTTTTATACAACTCTTTTTGTATAATTTTTATATGTCATTAAATGAGTAAATAAATTTAATATTAAAAATTTCAAATAAAAAAAAAAACCAATCATGTTGTCCATGAATAAATTTCCATTTAGTTTTCATTGAGTCCATTGTGGGGGTCCCACAATATATGTAATTTCCCTTTCTTCAATCCAACATACTTTTTTATTTTTGGGCAATGTTATTACTAACAAAGTAGATTTTTTTCACAGGTCAGCACATAGTTAAGAAACCTACATAATTATTTCATCTAATAAAGCCTTATATGGTAAACTTGCTTCAGTTGGAATCCTTGAATAAGTACCCTAAAAGGTTAAGATCCTTGATTTTTTTTTTTAATAAGTTGTAAAAGGACAAGCTCGAAATCCGCCAATGAAAAAAAGAGAAATGCACCTCAAATTAACAACGTGCTAGTTGACCCGAAGGTCAGGTGCAGGTTAAGATCCTTGATTAAAAATTAAAAAAAAAAATTTAATCTTTAATTAGTAAACTTTTAAAAGTTGTAATCAATATGCATGCTATTTCTGAGAAAAAGAGGATAAAAGATCTGATACAACCATTAGACTCGCAAAGATATGATACCGCCACTAGAATCACTCCACTGGATTCGGATTCCTCATCCACAAAGTGATTCGAACTAGGGCAATGTGCAGACAGTCAGACACTAAAATAAATATCTTAACGGTGGACCCCACACTACACCACGTTGTTGCGTACCTAAAAAGCAACTACCGTAACGCTACCCAACATAACTACTGTTCCTGATTTTAGTGTTAGGCTACAACAATTCAACAGCAAATGATACAAAGGCAGAACTTCAAATCCGCCTCTAAGGTAAAAACTTGGTTTTTTAACTTATTAAATTTATAGGTTTAAATAATTTATTTTATATTATAATATTTTTAATTCTTCACTTATTATAATTCAAAAAATAATTTTTATTTTATAATATTTTATTAATTTGTTAATGGATTATTAATTTTGTTAATTGATTTTTAATTTTATTAATTAAAAATGAATTTTTACCCACTAACATTCAACTAACAATCAACTAATAAAATTAACAGTTAACTAATAAAATAATTATATTAACTTTATTAACTGAAAATAAATTTTGTTAGTTAATAATTAACTAATAATCAACTAATATAGTTAATAATTAATTAACAGAACTAATAAAATATTATAAGTGAGGGTTTTTTTTTATTTTAATAGACGAGGGGTTAAAAGTATTATAATATAAGGTGGAGTAAAGGTGTAAATAAGGATTACAACTTTGCACTTTTTTCTATTTAAGGATGTTAACTTTGTCAGTTTCTAAATAAGGATGTCAACTTTCAATTTTTTTCTAAATAAGAATGTTAACTTTGTCAGTTTCCAAATAAGGATGTCAACTTTCAACATTTTTTATTTAAAGACGTCAATTTTCAACTTTTTTTATTTAAAGATTAATTGAATAGTGATGTTGACATGGCTAACATATTTTTTAGGTTAAATACCTGAATTGGTCCCTCAACTTTTATTTTTGAACTAATTCATCCTTAAACTTCAGAAAGTACCAAAAACGTCCTTCAATTTCAATTAATAAAATTATTTCCTAATTCATGGAAGAATTAATTAAATTTTATTTAATTTTATTAAATGGTAGGTGAGACTAATTAAATGGGAAAATATATTAATTGTTTTAATTTTAAATATAAA